AGTTATAGGAATTTTGTAGGTGAAAAGAAATGTCAGGCAAAAACATGTCCAAAGAGAGAGCAGCAAAATTGGGGAAAATAAGCCCAGGAATGAAAAGCAGTATACAAACCCAAGGCTTCTGTTTCCTAGTCTATGTTTTGCCTGCTTTCTGAGCGTCTTCCCAGACTGATAGGATAGAAGTTAAAAGCATGGTTTCTGGGGTTACAGACACTGGGTTTGCATCTCAACTCTGCCCAAGACCTAGATCAACCCATTTAACGCTTCTGAGCTTCAGTTTCCTCTTCTTAAAAACACAAGAGTACCAACAGATACGCCTAATTATGACTATGAGGGGACTAAAATTAGAACATAGCAGCAGTTTAAGTGGAAAGCAAATAAATTAGGTCAGTGTGTGAGTAATGATTCCAACATTGCTCTTAGCATATTAGCGATGGGCTTGGAGCTTGCTTGGTATAGGCAGTGGTTATGTGTGAGATGAGTGGCCCTGTTGACATTGTGCATTTTAATTCTCGAGGCAAGTACAAGAAACAAAGTCTATCCTGATCATTTGGCTCATTTTTTTTACAGTGATGTATTCAAGTGCACCTCTAAGGTTATCAGCAAATCAAAAGTATTGTAGAAATGTGAATTCAGGTTTTTGGATTCCTAGTCAGTAGTTACAAGGTGTTTGCCTTGAGAGAATATATATATATATATATATATATATATATATGAATAAACTCTCATATTTTAAACTAAAGACACTCCACATACACTCTTAGTGAAGTTACTATTTAGACAGTCAAGGCAGAAAGCTCAGTCTGGACCAGGATAGAGAAGGTGAGGTGGGACAAGGTGACTAGAATCATACCTAAAACTAACTTTAGAATGTCTCTCTCAAAGTTATCTAATTCTTACTTGGAAACTACAAAGGTATGCAGAGATCAATGTAGGATATTGATAAGCCCTAGGTTACACACCTGCCAAAGCATCTTGCTTACAGTTTGCTATACAAAAATATATGGCTATGCCTTAAGCTTTGAGGAACATGCTTAAGACTCCAGAAACTGTGTCTGAAAACATGTAAGTGAACTATATGAAACTTGGGGCATATGCATGTAATGTCACCCCCCCCCCGAAACAGACATTAAAGCATAGAACTTCTCATATGTGAGTGGTTAATAAACACCTTTAGTGATCAAGATGGAGTTAAGGCACTAAAACTTGAGTTTTCTACCTTAATTTGCATTGAAGGCACTTAGTGCCCTATGGTGTTAAGCTAAGGAAGCACATAGATGACCTTACTGCCCCTGAGTGGCTACTTCTTTGCGAGAGGCTGTATTACTATTCCAAGGACAGGAGGGAAGGGGTGAAGTGCATTCAGGACTGAAGGGTCAAGTCATGATAAGGGTCTCTTTCCACACCAAGGCTCAACCTGGTGCTCAGAAAAGGGAGGCATGTGTTCCTACATCAAGGCATGGTACCCATTTGAAAACATTCTGAGGTATAAATATGATCAATAGATCCATGAGAAAAAGGTAGGGCCATTGACTGTCACTACCAAAGGTAGTGACAGTATATGACTGGATATTTTGATGTGAATGTGGCTAAAACTATACTGATAGGTAGTTAACTATGAGGGAGGGGCGCTAAGTTCCCTTCCTACAATGCTCACCTAACTTCAAGTTGTCCTAGTTATGTACGATCCCACATTCAAAGAAGCCCAGTCCAAACAGCCAAGGGCAACATAAAAGGGATTCTACATTTTAACTTGTGTTCTTTGCAAACACTAAGGAAGCCTCATTAAATCACCCGCAAACATCTCATATCCCTTTTTGCTTTTCACCTCTCAAAACCTTTTCCCCCTTACAAAACAAATGCAAGCAACAACAAAACATCCCTCAGACTTTGTTGGTTGTTTTCTTCCCATTCTCCTCTCGTTTCTTTCCCCCCTCCCCAGTTATATAAATGTAAATCAATTTAATTTCTACCATTATGCCCTTCCCTTCATCCTTTGGACCTCAAGGTCATTCTCTACTTGTTTTTTAGTTCTGGGTCACAAAATGAAACCCTGAACAGGGAAAGAAAGACTCTTTGGAGAATGGCAAGGGAGCCGTAAGGTCAATGATGGCACACCCGTGAGAGGGAGAAGCTGAGGACACCCATGTGTACTGGAAACATCCATGACTCTAGCTGTAGAAAGACTTGGAGTGAGCTGAATCCATTAGGATCAGAAAAAAACAGACAACCACTGCCCATGGAGGGCAGGGAGAAGACTGAGCAAGCTTAAGCTAGCAGAGACAGTAGTAGTGTTTGATTTCAGAGAATTCCTGGATCCAGAAACTGTTTTGGGGAAGTTTCTTTTCAGTTAGTTCCTCTTCCTTTTAGGCAGCTATGGAGAACAATGTGGTCAGCAGTATGTTAATAACAGGCTCAACTGACCAATGTTTCCTATACTTATATACGGGCTGAGGTTGCAAGAGGCACAAGGGAGTGAAGGGGGTTACTATGCCCATCACTGTCTCGAGGGATTAGTAGATAGAGGAAGACTGTGCAGGTTAGTGGAAAGATTGCATATTTATGTTTCATTCCTCTCCCTTCACCTCCCCTTTCCTCTTCTCTTTCCCTGTTCTCTACTTCAGGTTTCCCCTCCTCACATCCATCTGTACTATAAACTAAGTCACAAAAATGCTTCCTTTACAAAAAAAAATGGTTTTTTTTTGTATGTAAACATCGATATGTAAACATCGATATGTAAACATCTATATGTAAACATCTATATGTAAACATCGATCGACACCCCCAACCTCACTGGACACTGTCACAATGGCACACGTCTGAGTTTTGCCTCTTTAAGAAATGGTGATCATGGACCACTTGTTGGTTGAATCTGATGAAGAGTTTCACAGACATGAGAGATGATGTTAAAAGACAAGAGGTTAAAACTACATGACAGATTTGCTTTATACTCGCTCCCACCCTGGAAACAGAAAGCTCTTTCCTCTCTCCCAGAATGTCACACATTTCAGAAATAGCTGTTGAGAAGGAAGTGAAATTTCTTCACAAGCTCACAGACAACGGTGACGTGGGTTAAGCCAGGCTTTAGAAAGAGCAAAATTGGAAGAGTATATCTGACTTACAAATCAGTAGCAAAGTATAAGAAAATCACAGGTCTATCCAAGAGATATTCGACTCTATTAAATTGGTCACTTTTTGCAGGTAGACAATCCCCAACTCACCTCTGCCTTTAATACACCTGTGACTCTAAGAAACATGCCAATGATCTTGTATGTGCAGTGTGCTTACTGCCCACAGAAAAATTAAAGCTCATGTTCTACCTCGTAAATAGCAGTTGTTGAGTTCTGGAACATACAAATTAGGTATGTTTATTGATGCTGCTGCTGCTACTGATGACGATATAATTATGCTGTGCTCACTTTAGCCCTTGCAGAGCTCCTATCCTTAGTGCTGTCACGGTATATTCTCTTCCTCCTTGTCTCTCTTTCTCAGTAATTGGCTAAGAACTTTAACCTATAAGCCATTCTTCTAGTCATTTGAGGGAAGAATTTATCATCCTAAGAGAAAAAGATGTCAACAAAGGACAAGACTCTAGCAATAAGATATCCTGGCCAATAGGAAGTACTGGCTAATTCAAAACAGAGCCATGTGAGAGAGACACAGGAACATTCTGGTGCCTACATAACCAACAAAGTGAAGACCAATTGCACCGCAATATATGGTAGGAATCCCTGTATTTCTAAATCGTTAGTAGCTAGAAATGGAAAAATTGCTTTCAATTTTTTTCTGCATTCGTATTAATGTGGTTCCTAAGGTAGAAGCTGAAATTAGTCTTTGACACATTTTGTTCCTTTGTTTCAGTGAGTAATGTTTCACAAGTGTCTTTTATCATAATGGTGGGAGGAAGCCCCTTGATCTTGTTCTTGGGGTTGTCCTGAACTCTATGTGTCACTAAGCCTTGAGCTTCAGGCTGAGAGGTTAGTCTGGTTAATAATGTATCAGTTTGTTTTCACTGGGGGCAGAGTACCTTGCAAGACATTATAATTATAACGTAGATAAATGCTTTATTGGTCCTGGCTAGTGAGAGGGAAGATGGAGACTAAGATCAGAGCCCTGGGGAATAAATTTGGAAGATATGGAGATGGGGAATATGTGTGGCAATGTGAGGACAGGGAGAGATAAGGACAGGTGGTAAGGAGAACTCCTTATTTAGAGGATAACTAATGGATTCTAAGGACAGTTGTAGCTGACATTTATTTTTATATTTTTTTCTTTGCTGCAATTCCCAAAGGCTAGCCTCTGGCCTATGGACACAATCTTAGGAATAAGGGAAGAATCTGTACCTCTGCTTCATGAGTAACATGATTTTCAGGAAATGTACGTGATATGAGAAAACTGTGTTAACTGGCCAGAGGTTTCTAAGGAAACATCCTGTTGAAAAGTAAAAAGAGGCAACAACCAGATGGGAAAGAATATTTGCAGGACACAAACTATGAAGAAGCATGAGATAACAGAGACTTTGGGTCTCTTACCTCATTAGAGGCTTTGAGGGCAGCTTGGGTGGCTACTACTTGATCAGTGGACATCAAGGGTGAATGGAGGTGAGAGAGATGAAGGACTGTTTTCCTGAAACTATTTCTGTGCTCATCTGTGTTCTTGGGGGTCCCAGGTGTCTTGATGACATGACCAATCACAACAGAGCAATTAACTTCAAGAAGACTCATTTCATAATACACAGAATCCGATGCTATGTCATGGTGGCCCAGTCATTAGAATCACTGTCCCCATGAGAAACTGTTGTTCTTAGGGTCTCTTTCCAAGCAGAGAGCACACACCCTTAAAACAACAACACAAGGAGACTCGGTTTCTTGAGTACTTCAGGACCTCAGCCATCATACTAGATGATTTCTCCGGGAACAGAACAATGACCTAGCTGCACATCAGTCATGCAGTGGGGTCCAACTGAGGTCCATGGAATATTCAGGGCAAAGTCAGAGACTCACCTCCTTTTGATGGTGAGCATCACACCCAGTAGAATGATGATGAACATGAGGAGGCCAGCAATCACACCGGCCATCTTCACAGTGCTGTCCACCTGCTTCTCTGGTTCCATGGTGTTAGAGTTCTGGGTGGAGGCACCTTGAAGAGAAAAGAGAAGGAAGATGTTGCAAAGACTCACCCATGTGATAGACTATATTAATAATAAATAACAACAACAACAATAACAACAGCAACAACAACATAGCTTCCATTTAGTGAGTGTTAACTGTGTGCCAGGCACTGCAGTGAGAGCTTTATACATATTGTCCCATTTGATCGTACTGAAGAATTAATCCCCTGTGAATTAGGAATTATTATTAGTGCCTTCTAGAGATGAAGAAACTGACATGAAAAGAAGTGGAGTTTCCCAAGGGCCTATAACTTCTGTGCTTCTGTATCTTTCTCTTCTAGTGAGATCAAGTGGAAGATTTTATTCCTCAAATTGCTTTACCTCTAGGAGCTAACCTTGGAGCTGTCATTCAGTTCTTGGGTTCATGGAATTATTCCCCATCCTATTTTATTCTTTTGGATAAAATATGAGAATCATAGCTTTATGTCAAGGCAACATAATTAAGATCACTAGAATTTTGAAAATAAAAAGGTAAAGTTGCTTTTTCTTTATAAGAAATAAATGGTAGGATAAAAAATTAGTTCATTAAAGGGAATTGCTTTGGGTTCAGCAAAACACATTCATTTTTAGCATTTATACTAATGCTAATATTATGTGGTCTCCAGGTGCGAGTTTATTGACTCAGGCCCTGGTAGAGAAAGGCAGGACCACTCACCATCTTTACCCTTGTGCTGGGTGACTGCTAGATCTAGCTCATCAATCCTCACAAAAATTCCCAAATGTGGATATTAGTTTTCTCATTTTATAGATGAAAACACCAAGAGACTTTCTAGAAGTCACATGGCTCATAAAGTTAGAACCAGGATTTCTCAGGTTTGCGGACTCCAAGTTTAGTCCTCAATAGTCAGAAATCTTGAATTCAACTTCCAAGTCTCCTAACTCCTTAGTCCCCCACCCCTCAAACACCTTTTTTGCTCCTATCATAGCAAAAATTAAGTAACAACAATAACACACTGAAGCCCAGCCTCTTGCTTCTGTGCACTAGGGATCAAGGATAATTTCCTTTTTCAGACACCGTAGAGAGTAATACAGGAGCCTCTGCCCCCAGAAGTCTCTCTCTCTCTCTGTCTTTCTCTCTCTCTCTCCTCTAAATTCTGATACCCCTTTGTACAGACTTAACAGTGTCTCTTACCACAATGTACCAATATTATTAGCTATTTGTTTCCACATCTGTCTCCTCTACTGGTCTACAGACTCCCTAGAGGTAAGATTATGCCTCCTTTTCTTTGTTTTTCCATGTTAGCACAGAGCCTGACTCATAATAGAGGCTCCCTAAGTGTTTGTACTTGTTGGGTGTTTAGCTAAAGGGATGATGTCTCTGCCCACACACATTTGTTCTCATGGAACCAAACTGAGTTTCTCCTTTTGGCAGTCATGTAGTCACAGAACTCAGCTGAGTCTTGTGTTTAAGGATACTAATATTCATAAGCTTTGGTTCTGGTGCCCCAAACTCACTGATATTTAAGAACAGCCTTCAAGTGTATTGGTGTGCCTCTTTCTTTTTGCTTAGCAGTGTAGTGTTTTCTTTCTCAGAGGACTTATCACAAACTGATATAATATGAATAAGTTAGATTTGCTTGGCAAGTCACTCTAATGAGAAGTGAGCTTTTAAGAACAGGGATTGAGGGGCTGGGGATTTAGCTCAGCGGCAAAAGCGCCTGGCTGGCAAGCGCAAGGTCGTGAGTTCCGTTCCCGGTACCGGAGAAAAACCAAAAAAAATTTAAAAAAAAAGAAAGAAAAAAAGAACAGGGATTGAATGCAATTCAACTCTAAAATGGCAGTGCCTAGCATGGGGTCCCTGCCTCACAATTGTTACTAAATTTCCTATTTACAGAATGAGATAAAGATGCATGGACCAGAATTACTTGCTTTATTTATTTACTTCATCATTTGTTATTTTGCTACTCATTGCCCATGTGCCGTGTGCCAGACTATGCTGTCTGTAGGGTCAGAGATCCCTTTCCTGTAATCACTTATGTATGAAGGACTTCATTCTTTCCTTTCACCAGTTAAGAACAAATCCAACTCATTAATCTTAGGGCTGTCTGAGAAGGCTCTGTGAGTCTACAACCTAGTAAATTCCTGGGGAAGGAAGTCAACCTCTTCTTTATCAGAGTCAGTGTGACATTCCAGAGAGGAGGTTAGTTCTGAGTGGCTTCTAGGTAGCTCCTGTTTCCTAGATGGGAGATAGGATTTCCAGGATATGGCTAGTTCACTATGCACTAAGTACGAAAGAAGTAGAGTGCCTCAGATTACAATTCTCTAAATATTGACAGACTTTTTAATTGAATTAGGAAGAAAAGTTGGGTCTGGAGCATTTACTCATTGACATAACAAAACTTTACTTAGTGCCTAATGTATGGTCCTAGAGACTGGGGTGCACAGGCAAAGAGCCCTGGAGAGGATCTTCTTAATGTAAGCTGTACCTATAAGCTGTTACCTCCTAGTGTAATGAGACTCAAACTTTAGTAAATAAGTATCCATTATATGTCAGACATTTGGTGATACAGCAGTGAGCAACATAGGCACGGTTTCTGTCTTCTAATTAGTGGTGGTTGGGGGTAGAGGATGCAAGAATAAGCCAAAAACCCAAACTCTGAACACCTTTAAGGGTTTGGACAGAAAGGTGCAAGACTCTTGGAAAGTACATAGCTGGGAAATGAGTCACTTCTGGGAGGAAGTTGCCAGCCAGGTGAGTCCAAGGCTGTAAGAAGGCAAAGGAAGAATGAGAAGAACCTATGGGAACAGCAGAAGAAACAGTCTTTGCTAGGGCTGTGAGATAGGGCCTCCACAATATGAAAGAAAAGGGATATGATGAGTGTGAGAAAGTAAGGTCAGGGTAAATGAAGCTGGAGAGGGAGCAGGAATCAGTTCACACAAGGCATTACAGGCCACGATGAGGGGTTTTGTTCTGCAGCCCAAGAAACATAGAACCACTGAAGTGTTTTTCCTGGAACAATGCTATGTTCAGATTTGTATTTCTGCCAGGTCATTCCAACTTCAATGTAGAATCAAAGTGGGTTGGAGAGATCGGTTTTGAGATAATTGCAGCCATCCAAGTAGGAGATGAGGTAGTTGCTTAGACTCAGTTGATGGCAATCGAGAATCAGAAAAATAATAGAAGAGATAATTACTCCATGTTCAGTGAATGAGACATTGTAGAATAAAGGAGAAAGAACTGTCAAGGAGGACCAAAGATCTTTGGTTTGTATGACAAGGTTGAAGTTAGTGCTATTTGTGGGCCTCTGAGACAATGGTAAAAAGAATAGCTTTAGAGGGAAAGTGTGCATGTGTTTAGAGCAATTTAAGCTTGAGAGATACTTTAAAAATGTAGTTAGCTAAAACTGTAGGTCTAGAACTCAGAAAGGAGGTCTGAGCTGGAGGTAAAAATGTGTGAGTCATGCACACAGATGGCATTTGAAGCATGGAAATTGATGAAATCACCCAGGGAGAGAGAATAGAAAGGAGAATCAGACTTACAGTAGAGCCAGAAGGGACTGTGTTGTTTGGTGAGTGGGTAGAGGAAGCTGAATCTGCATAGGAAATACAGAGTATTCAGACAGGTAGAAAGCAAAACCAGGAGAGGACACAGCCAAGGGAACATGGTGTTTCAGGAACAAGCAAGTAATCAACAGTACCAGATGCTGTTCCTAGAGCAGATTCAAGCTCTGGGTATAAAGGAAAGTGAAGATTTTTGGATGAGTGTGACAAAACTTTTCCCAAAAGAATTTCAAGATATTCTTAAATAGACACACCTCCAACAGTAATGGAGCATACTTGAAGGTCACAGAGGAACACCCAGGGGATTCTAAGACACCATCCCAAAAGCTAGAGCTCAGTGGTTTAGACTAATTCACTGAGTTTAACCAATAGACATCAGAGCTGAAAACATAGACTTTATAGAGTAAAGTTTTTAGGAGGAGCCATGCTTGCCTGGTCCAATCAGGCTTCAGATACAGGAAAGTGAACATATGCTGGAACATGAAAAATCCAACTTTCATTTAAGTACTCTTCAACAGAGTTTGCTGCAGTCTCTGGGGATTTCTGCCTCTGTTCATAAAAGAAAGGTACCAGCACTATTCAAAGGTACTACAGATATAGAGGAAATGTCTTTGGGACTAAACGCCAGACAACATCCATTGTGTGGCTCTTATACCTGAAAGGAAGAAAGGAGAGATGGAGACAGATGTTGGGCCAGCCCCACACCTGCAGCAGACTGTTATGGTTTGTGTCTAGATGTCACCCTAGAGCTTCATGCAATCACGGGGTGAGATTCTAGGGTTTGTGATTCACCTATGCTCCAATGCTGGGATTATGGGTGTGAGTGCTACAGCTGCCCCAGGGCGGGTAGCCTGCATACAGTATAAGGGAGGGAAAAAGCCTTGCTCTGTCTGCTCCTCCCTTTTTTGCTCTTCTGCTTTTGTTGTTTTCTACCACCATGAACTATTGCTCTCTCCCATGTTCCACTCTGCCTTGGAGTCAGCCAAGTATGGACTGAAACCTCCACAAATTGTGAGCTAAATAATCCTCTCTTTCCTTAATTCTGGGCGTCAGGTATTTTGTCTCAGCAATGAGAGAAAAGTAACCAAGACAGCTTCAGGAGCCTGTCAACAGGGCTCACATTCTCAGTGCTCAGTGGATCAGAGCTGTGGTAGGATTTACAGGGAGCACATGAGAGTTGGCTGCTGAAAGTGCCTCCTGGCAACACGACGGCTTTTCTACACTTTTCAATACCCAATAGCAGGACCACATAGAAGGCTGTCTGTCTGTCTGCTGAATCAGTGTCCCCAAGATCCAAGGGGTTGGATTACTTTTACCATAAGTCCACCTTTTTTATGAGAATCAGGTTTAGTATTAGTCTCGGTCCGTAAAGGATCCTGCCTCTGATTTAGGAGACTTCTATTGAGCATGGACGGGGAATGTGAGAATGGGGAGGATGGGGGCTGGGGATTTAGCTCAGTGGCACGGC